GCTGGTTTATTCATCAAAACCCACAAGCTGACAACCTGACAGGCCCCTGCAGCAACACGGGGCTCTCTCGCTCATCTGTACAGCTTTCCCTGCACTTTTCCTTCTCGCCTCTTTCACTCTCGTTTCCCATCTTTTTCTCACTCTCTGGTACGAGCTTACACTGCAAACATCCATCCTCTCCATCCTCACCTCCTCATCATTACTATTCCTCGCGTCAAAGCTGAAAAATATGTTTCCAGGGTTTGGGCTCGACAGCCAGTCATAACAGGAGTGTGTTCTCTGAGTATTGGAGCAGTCAGTGTTGATGCTCCCTGTTGTGCGTCTCATTATTCAGGCTTTATCCAAGCATCCTCTCTGAAGAACATTAATACAACTCCCTAAGATTTAGCTTTAGATACTGTGATACAACTGCTGCTGACATTTACCTCCTGCAATCCAATCTAGTATTCAATCTTACCTCAATTAATTAATATTTTTTAAGATGTGAGGAATTTAAAATGATAATATAAATTATGCAGTGAAATATTAATGCACACACATAGCAGACTGTTCACTGCTGAATTAGAGGATGGATCTACCTGTGGTCTTTTTTGTGTTTTTCAAATGGAAACTCACTCGGCTGTTATCCAAAAGTGGTGACAAGGGTTACAGCGCTGATACTCCCTCGACCCCCACACATGCCGCTTGCTGGCAGTGAAAGCACAGAGAGTGAGAAAAGTGTTAGCTGGGAAGATCTGAGCTTGAAGGTGGAAGATGGGACTATTTCAATATTATTAAACCTTTGTTTAACCAGGTGAAGAGACACTGAGATTCAATATAATACTGCATATGAATTGTATAAACACATTTATAGATTCATAGTGAACAGTCAGTGAATTACCCACAGTTAGATAGTGTATGGGCACAGAAGCTGTAGCCTACTGCTGTGGACACAAGGATAGCTCGGTTACAAAGTCACACAATAACACAAACTAGCAGTTGATCAGCAAGTCCTTATGTTCTGCAACCTAAAATTAAATTTTTTGTCAAAGGAGTCTGGTGGCTGTGGATGGGGGCAGCAGCAAAACGTATATGAGCCTCCTATAAAAAAAGACCACCTAAAAAAATCTGCATCATTTCAAGTGTAAGCTATATTAATTAATTATTTTACCGCTGTACCTTCCCATTAGACAGCCCTTTATAATGAGGAACTGAAGTCGTTATATCGATATCTTCAAAGCCACCAGACTCAATTAAGAGACACAGCAATTTTACCTCACAGCACATGGGAGTTGCTGGTGCACCACCAACTCAACTCTAAGTTTGTTCATGCTATTGTGTGACTTTTTTTTAACTGTAACTAATGTAGTATCCACTGAAGTTTATATGTAGCAACAACATTGTGCAGAAACCGATATCAGGTCATATGTAAAAATGTTTTTAGAAGGGTTTGGGAAAATCACATTTTGACGCTAAAACATACACACTTTAACCAAAATTCTATGTTCAGATTCAAATAGATGAGGAACACTATTAGAAAGCTACAGAATGATATAAAAACCAAAAAATAAGAATGGAGCTGCTGTTCAAACAAGCTCATTTTGCTTAACGAACATTTCCAGTGTGTTTCTAAGTTTTAGCAGCTTACTACTTTACATATTTACTGACCATTTTCAAATGGATGACACACAATCTGTGAGTAGTTACACTTCTGATTGATTTGAAAAGACTAAACTGAATTAACTCATTGATTACATTAATTGGTAATTTACTTTAAACTTATAATTGATTTTGTAATCATACAGAAATAAATGGAAACCAGAAGATTCCTAGCCTTTCTAAATTTACAAAACACAGCAGCTTGGTTTACAAACAAGTTAGTTGTGGTGTTAAATCTGCCTGGTGGCAGCAAAACAACCTGTAACTACTATAGATTGACATATTATCATCTTACAATGTTGTGATGGTGCACTTGTTTCTGGCGACCTGACATATGGATGTCCAATATTCACTTCATCTTGGTCTCCTGAGGGAAATATTTTGCCGTTTAGCTGATAGTGTTCCACTATATTCACCAGCTCATCGCCAACTTTGTCTGTCTTGCATTTGGTGTTGACCTTTTCTGTTGAAAGCAGCTGCCTACTGCAGCAGAAAGTGGCGGTAAAACAGTAAAACATTCTGTAGAGCTCACTGTGGGTTCGTCAGTAAGTGCAACACCACTCACATTACATAGTGATCCATTATTAATGTAAAAATACTGACAATATTTACTCATTTGTATTTAATACAATATTTATATGGCTTTGACTATACAGTATCTGTAGTTAACAGATTAAAACGTCAGACTCACCAGACTTCATTTTATTTTTTCAGTTCATGTCCCATGTTGCAGAGATATACCCACATTCATGGAGTCGTCCTGTTTGTATTGAAAACAGATCAGAGTCTGCAGCTTTTCCTGAATGATTGTTGATAACTAAAAAGGTGACCTCTGGTAATACCACCTTCCCTTGACAGATCTGTAAATGACATTGTCCCAGTTGCATTCCACAGACAAAACAGTGTTTCTATTGTAAACACTGATTAAAATCTGGACAAACTTCACGCCTCAAGGCACAGAAACTTGATTTGCTTCCTCACGTTTTTCCTACAACAGATAATCTTGTTCATAATGAAAACAGAGAGCAACTGCCTGAAACACCTGCAGTTCCCAGACATGTGCACCCTGCTGCAGTAACCACACTGATTCAAATGAAGGTAATTTATCAACAGTAAGGCCCCGATCGCCCAGAGCACATTTAAGCAGCCTGGGGCCGCCTTTTGTAATTGTTTTCAATGATAGTGGAGCTTTTTGCTCGCTGCTAATGCGTTGCTGAGCGCCTCCCATTTGTCCCCCTCTTTGCACCTCACATCTTTACAAGAGCGCCCTGATTGCCTCAAGTTGAAAAAACTTCAGCTCAGGAATTGGTGGGTTTTTTCCCCCATTGTCCAGTCAGTTGAATTGAGACTTTGGCCTTTTGTGGTAGAGATGACAACAAGTAGAAGTGAACAGTTCATGGTTCAAGCTGCAAGACATATTTGAAACAGATTTCAGCCACAGGTTTCCTAACACATTCATTTAGCTGTGGCGGCCTGTCACAATATCAGCATTTGCAGCCACACATTTTATTTTTTGTTATTGGAGCCGGACTGTTCATTAGGAGGGCTGTTGGAATATATATATCTGAGCACACAGCATACTCTGGGCACAGATGGAGCAGCAGAATGCTGGGCACGGTGACAGTGAAACTTATTTATTCATTCATTTTCCATAACCACTTATTCTGTTAGGGGGGCTGAAGCTTATCCCAGCTGACATTGGGCGAGAGGCGGGGTACACCCTGGACATGCTGCCAGACTATCACAGGGCTGACACATAGAGACAGACAACCATTCACACTCACATTCACACCTACAGACAATTTAGAGTCACCAGTTAACCTGTATGTCTTTGGACTGTGGGAGGAAGCCGAAGTACCTGGAGAAAACCCACACTCCTTCCACCCTGGGTTCGAACAAGGAACCCTCTTGCTGTGAGGCATGTGTAAATGCTAACCACTGCACCACCGAGCTGCAGTGAAACTTGATCATAAAGAATTATAACATCATATTTCTTAGAACAACAGTGCTCTCATTTTAGTGTTATCCAGCATCCAGTTATTCCACCCCATTTTAGTTGAAACCACTGCGTTCCCATGGAAACTGCACACAATGTGGTTTAGCGCTGGGTCTAAAAGTTTGCTGTCATTCACCTCTGCAGCAGCTGCTCCTCCAATCAATCTGATCACAAACTGATTCACTCAAACTCAAAAAACTGACGCTGGGGAAAAAAAAGGTCCACCTGCGCTGCGTTCAAAGCCCAGCAAAAACCTCTGAATTCAGAGAGGAGCCTAAGAACGGTCAAAGAGGAGGTCGTCAGCTACCGCCACACATATATTCTAATTCTGTGGGAACCACTGAGCTAACCTGAGCTATACTTTTTACCCTGTGTTGTTGGAGGAATACAGACAGAAGTGTAAATAATCTCTCAGTAAGGCGAAAGCAGCGAGCAAAAAGCTTTACTCTCATTAAAAACAATGACACAAAGCCGCCCCAGGCTGCCACTAAACAGCGCTCTGTCTGATCGGGCCCAGCTTCAACAATAAAGGCAGTTCAGTGAGTCTACTGTTTGTCTGATCGGGCCCTAAAGGGACTCATTTTGTCGGCTGAACATGAGGAGAAAACTGTACAACAGGTTCATCTCTTCAATGTACACCTGCGCGCACACACACACACACACACACACACACACACACTGACAATTTCAGCCTTTCATGAATACGAGATGGGACGAAATAGAGGCTCTGAGTCTGGCAGCCACCAAAAAGGCATGTATATGTAAATGCATGTTTAACGGTGAGGTGAGAACATGAGTGTGTCCATGCCTCAGCACCCACACACAAACACAGTGTGCGCCCCTCCCCAGCTGTTCCTTTAGGGGTCTGGATCAGACAGCTGTCCCTCTGGTCTGAACAGAGCTCACACTGTTCTGAAAAAGACATGCTCAGCACATTGTTCAGAGGTCTCTCCCGCTCTCTGCCTCTCAGCGGGGTTCTGTCAGGCAGAGCAAACAAAAGACACTGGAAACACCCGACACTGGCACAACCAGCCACAACGAGCAGGGTAATAACACACACAAAAAACACCTGTCCCCCTACCTCTGCCTCACAGTTCACTGGGAATGCAATTAATTATTTTTCAATCCCAATCAATTGTGCATTTTTGTGTGAAACTAATTATTTTGTGTAAAGAAAAAAGAGAACAGAACACAAACGTGTGAGATACCACAGCTCCATGTGATGTCTTGAAATTGGTTGCTGAGTCCATCCAACAGCCACAAAACCCCAAATCATTCTCCATTTTTAATATCAAAGAGACTAAAGTGAGAGTGCTAAACTGAGAAAATGAACATCCTGACATGAAGGACAGGCAGGAGGACTCACCCAGACCAGACGTGTAGATGGCCTTCACAGACTTCTTCATCTTGTACAGAACACTGCGGTCCACATCCAGAGCCTGGACAGACAGAGAAAGAGACAGATATTTAGATTTTACAAAATGTATTACTTTAATTAACGTATTTTGCTTTTTTACAGGTTGTTTAAAGAAATGTGTTAGTCAATATGTCTGTAAATTGACTTTAAAAACACGCTTGTTGTCATTTTGTATCACCATTTCTCATGAATGTTGCAAGGTAGCGAGCTAACTTCATGCGAGCAAACTTCTCCTAGGAAAAACCCTCGTTATTCCTAGGAGACTCCTGTTTTTCTTTTATTGCCCTCTTCCGGTTCACAGGGTCACAATTCTCCAGACTCTCTCCTTATTAAAGACACCTTTTTTCTTTTTGTTATCAAGACCTATTTCTGGCACTGTGCAACATGTAAAGGCCGCGCAACTCTACTCTGACCCTCCAGTACAAGTTGGGCGCAGCTGCCAGTGAACACCTTGTCTCCATGCTGACCAATTATGTGTTTGAAAGTCTGACGGGATGCTCTAGCGGAGGTTTGAGGGGTGCCTCAGGGGTTAGGAAGGGACCCAGCTTGCCCTCCTTTGCAGCAGTGGGGTACCCAGCTGTCCTCCTGCTCCGTGTTGTGTGGTATGTGGGCCACGGAGGACAGCCAACTGTGTGTGCCTGGTGTGTGGCAAGCCTACAAGCCTCCCGCCCTCCTCCCGGTACTCTGCTGGAGTACTAAGGTCATATCTAACATAAATACTCTGATGCAGTGTACCTATTATTTTGTTATTTTCACTTTAAGCAGTAAACAAAGTTTTTGAGAATTAAATTTTTCCAGAACCCCCACTTAAGTTTCAAAATCCTCCCTAACTTACTAACACCCGCCGACATCAGCTTGTTTTTACCTACTGGAAAAGGTTACAATCGGCATTTACTCCCAGGTCAATTGACTCTGCAGTAATCACGGTTATTTGTCGACTCTGGCTCTGATCGGCCTAAATGGCAATGATGGAAATATGACACCCACGTGGACAAGCTTATTTTTGCCCCTTTGCCAGCACGATGCAATGACGCACCACCACATAATAACGCCCATCTTCGTCCAATAAGCGCTCAAACATAAATCTAATTCAGTCGGCACCAAGTTTGAAAGAGAGACTGAATAAGTGAGGGATATTTAACAAGAAGTAACCACCATAACACATTTTCACTGGCCTCCGTGCTGCTTTCTACTGTTTACTAACCTGTTTTCTGGCCCCATACTCGTCTGCTGCAGAGTCATGTACACGGCCTGGGTTTTCCATGTTTAAAAGTCCTGCATACATGTACTAATTTTGGTAGTAAAGGGGTAAAGATTGGCGAGTATGCGTATGAGGATGATGTCTCCATTTTTAATCCCACCTACAAAGCTCTGCTTGGTTGACCGAAGCACAACCCCAGACCTATTTCAGATGTGGGCAGCGATTCAAGAGGTGTAGACCCAGGTTAGTATTCTGATACAGCAGCTCTGCAGTGATACAGCGCATCACCTTTATTAAGTTGACACTGTTCAGACTGTCAGAAAGATTCAACTCTACTGTCTTTTTCGCAACTGCAGTTTGTGTTGTTGCTTTCCTGTGTTGAATTGTTTGGCACTCCTGCTTTTTTTTCCACACCCTGAATGCCTCCATGTGGTGGGTACAGTTTGTGTGTGTGTGTGTGTATGCCATCTCCACTCTGGCTGCAAGTAATGAATTATTCAAGGCAAAGCTAAGAATAGACCTGAGCTCCATCGTCGGTTATTGTGTTAGTGTGCGTGTCTGTGTGGGTGTGTGTTTATCAGCATAATAGCTTGTAGGGCGAAAGCAGCATCTGAGGTCTCTTACATGAAGGTCTTCACACACATACCTCTAAATAACCATAGTCACACACACACTTTCACATGCATTGAGCTCAGACTGACACACTAACCAGAACAAACACTGGGAGTCCAGCTGAGACAATGCGGCACTGTACCAGTGATGAGTGAGGGACTCTTTCGGGATGAGGGGGATTTTGGGAAATGAGTTTTTAGGGACTTTATTAAGTACGTCCGCCCATGCGGGCCAAAGCCGGCGCCACTTTTCCCTGCCCTGCTCCCCATCTGACGGACACATATCAGATCCCCTACACCCTCTGAAAACAAAAACACACAATGGTCCCCATTCAGCTGCAACACACACACCAACACTGTACACACCCACACGTTCCTCTTTGCAGCACCACTAGATGTGATGACAAAATGTATTAAATCCATAAATCCGCCGTATTAATATCCGAACTATGAGCTGTTTGCTATTGCAAAATGGAAGAACCACTCAGCACTTACATTTCCCCGGGGTCACATTTCACACACTTGCAAAGACGCTCACAAAAGGAACAGAGAGAGAGAGGGGAAGACTTTAAAGGGAAAATGACAGATAAATCAAGTGTCACTGGAAGAGGGACGTGCAGAATGAAAGAAGAACACAGAGCTCAAAGAAAAGACAAGCACGCTGACAATTTGCTCTGACACACTGCAGATGTATCTCCAATCTGCAGCATTTTATAGTGCAGTCACCTTTTTATTAAACAGAAGTCTTGTAAAGCTTCAGGGAAAACGATCAGCGGTGCTTCATCACACAGCCGTGTATTTAATGGCTGAGACGAATGTCTCACAGCCATCTAATAACAACATTTACCACGATTCGGCTCCGCAGCTGAGTTTTTACTCTTATTGGGAAGAGTCGAGACAAACAGCCTCATCGGTCACAATCAGCTCCTAATGTGTGAGGAAAAAAAAAACTCAAGCCTGCGCTGCAATTTAGACACAAGGCTGAAGTTAGTTAAACAATCACCAGCTTGGCGCTCTGTTTACCCAGCCAGTCTCTTTTACAAATACATTCTGACATGTCACAGTAGGGAAAAGCACAACAAGTGCATCTCATTGAGCAGCTTCAGTTTCACGATCCTGGTATTGTGCATGCTGGCTCACTGTCACTCTACCCCCTTTTACACTTTCTCTTAAAGGCAGGAATTTCATGCCATTATCCCGCCTCGCTGTTCTGGAAATGGTACAAACGTGGAATGGCGGGGGGCAGTTGTCTTGCCTTTTAGCCGGCATCGAAGGTAGTAACAATACTGGAACAATGTCTAAGGACAGCCAGCAGAATAGGATCATGGGCAGTACTGGTGTGATGTTTTAATGATGTGTTACGCGTGCAACCCACTACAGCACATTTAAAAAGTAGCTGATAGCAGTTAGCAGCTAACTCAAAGAAAAGGAAGAGCAGTCGAAAATGACCACAAATTGGGGAAAACATGAGGTCCAGGAGCTCCTTACCCTCTGAGTAGAGGGTGCCATCTAAAATCACACACTAGAGCGCCATAAAGATGGGACATCATAGCCGCCCTATCGCACGATCTCTGTGTAAAAATGGCTACTGACATAGCCTAATAGGACACTTGAACATAGAAAAGAGGCACTTTTAATGTTATTAGTAACACCTTTGCTTTTCCTGGTATGACAGGTCAAAATGTCAACTGTGAAAAAGCCCACAGAGCCTGCATCATGCTGGCTCATCAGTGGCTGCGATCACAGCACGTCATCTATGACCCTGTTAACACTTGAACCATTTTTTCATACGAACTTTTCCCCTTTCACACACGTAAAACACAACAGGTGATTGCCTGTGTCAGAAGCATTATCACCTACTGGTACTACTCCGTTTGGTTTTTAAGGCAAGGGGTGGCGCCTGGGTAGGGCATGCAGGAGGCAGGATATGACGCGGATTAAACCGTGGTCACGTAGATGGTTAGTAATTGGGTCATAAACAAACAAGTCTCTTGCCTTTCCTTGAATTCGTCTGAGAAATTCGGCTCTCACCTTTACCAACAGTAATTCTAGAATCCGAGAACCAGCGAGACACTTTCGTCGTCATCTTGCTGAATTTCCCTTTGGGATAAATAGTTCTTTCTATTCTATTCTATTTTCGTGTAAATGACCCTTCTTTCTTACCGTTGATGTTTTCTCTCTCCTGGTTTCGAGCAAGCCAAATGTTAGAAACTTCATTATACATCTGGTAAGTTCAGGTATGCAGTGAATGTATGAAAGGGGCTTTGGTTTTAAGATGAGTTTCGGTGACGCTAACACAAGTAAACAGCCGAGACACATCGCAATTCACACCTGCGTCTATCATGCTTCTCAAGCTGACCATTTTACATTTCTTTACTGCCTATGTCACTTTCACCAGGAGGTCAAAGGGCCTTGCGTTCAGTTACTACATCCAAACTCTTGTCAAATTACCAGTTTTCTCAGTACAGTTAGAGGTATCACTGTCAGCATAATTCAATACGTCTCCTTTCAGGGCAAAACGACAGACAGTCACACAACACTTTGTCCAACTCGCCATAGAATGGGCAAGTTATAGAGTGTTAGCACTGTCATCAAAACAACCAACATGTCCTTTAATGATGACGTGTTTTCAAATTTACGTCCTTGTCTGGGACGCATCAGGGTGCATCATTTACACTTCAAAAGATACAAGGCTTAATGCATCCCAGACCACATCTGCAAGTGGTTTAAGTGATCAGATCAAAAATGGTCTTTTACATAATAACTAAAAAGGGGTGGACAGCACCAGACCTGAATTTACAGTTGATCACATTGTCCATCTGTATGTGGCTGTATTACTTCTGTTTAGTTGTTTGTTAAGCAACAAAAGCTACAGTCTCATTCACGCCAGACCTCAAGCTGAAACTAACAAAATAAACCAAAACCTTACAACAAAGTTAGTATGATCTAAATGAAGAAAAACAGTGCAGGTTGGATTCAGAGAGAAAAATCACAGCCTTTTCCCAACAAGTGTGCTTTTCCACAAATAAACTTCCAGACAGCTGCACTTAGTAAAAGTAACACATGCTAAAAATAAAATCTGGTGTCTGTTGGGAACTGTGCAAATTAAAAGAAGCCGACCAGAAGCTACTTGTTCCCCTGAGTAAAAGTAAGACTTACAGCTCTGTGGTTTTAGTTCCTTCAACTCTTCTTAAATGACTCATCTGTTAC